CTTGTAATCACTAGAAGTGTGTGACAGTGTTTGTTTCTGCAGACACTCTGCTCTCTGCCTCTATTTTCATCTTATTTTGTGAATGGGACATGTTTATGGGCGTAAACCCCACACAGCGCTCAGGTAAGGTCGGCCTTTTTAAAAACATGCCAACCAGGTGCCAGACCAGGGGTCGGCAACCTCAAGGTATCAAAAGATATAATGTGTGGTGGAGGATTACATATTTCATCTGGCAGGGAACACCTTGGGGTCCCCCAGGAAGAGCTAAAAAGCGTTGCTGGGGAGAGGGACATCTGGAATACTTTGCCCAGCCTGCTGCCCCCACAACCCAGCCTGTGATAAGTGGGGAAAAAAACAACAAAAAACTACTCCACTCGCCAAAGCCACAGGGAGCCACTGGAGACAGGGTAAAGAGCCACATGCAGCTCTGGAGCCGCAAGTTGCCTACGCCATTGCCAGACTGTAAGCAGAAGGCATCCAGTGGACACACACAAAAAAAAATAGAAATATAGTGAGGCGAAATTCCACACGAGGGAATCTGGGGTTGGCTTTCACTTGCGCTAGCCAGTAGCTGAAAATCCTGCATGGTATACCATTAAGTCCACACTGATGTTTAGCCATGCCCATTTTACCCGTAGACTGTAAAAATAATGGATGTAGCTAGTGGTCCAAATACGGTCACGCCAGAAGTGACTGTATTTGGGCGAGAGGCTGGCACTGTAAAGGAGCGAGGGGTTGATCTGCAGACCACCTGTCACTCAGAGCGGCCCCCCCCCCCCCCCCCTAAAGTTGCCATACTGTTGTCATGAAGGAGGAAATTACCTATAAAGACCAAAACATTTTTGTACCAGACTGTAAACATGTTTATTTCTGCTGTAAAGTTGGGCATTTTAACATGGGTGACTTACTTACCCACTTTTTGTTCAAAGAACTGCAGTTTTTGGCACTACCGTGCTGGCTTAATTTTTTTAGCCCCATAGTTTATTGCCTTGTTTTGTTGAGATTTTAAGAGTGGACTGCAGTAAAGTAAAAACAAACTACTCTGTTGGACAATATTGAGACATGCCATCTATGTAATCACTCCACTCGGTGGAATGAGCGGATTCAAAGTTCATACCTCAGGCAAAGGACCTTTTGTTAGTCAATATTGGGTAATTCTACAGGACATGATGTAGGGCTTTTACAGTGTTGGGCAGTAACACATTACTTACAGCAGACACTGAAATTTTATGTTGTCATTACTTTTTCGTTACAGAATGTTTGCAAATGTGGGGATACCTACTGTCTTTTTATTCTCACAGCACTTTGTAAAGGCAGTTTGAATTGAAAACAACAAGCAAAGCCACATGCAACAGCTACACTGACAGACAAAAGCTGTGGCGGGCCATTTCTTCGCCTTTGACCAACCACTGAAGCTGTCAACTCAGAAGAGACCTGCCTACAGGCTTCAACAGGATATGTATTGAGGTTAGTGTAGCGAGAGCGGAAGCATTACAAGAGGCTTCAGAGAGCTAATTTTAGTTTAACCAGCATAATTAAAATCCCTTAAATGCACCTTTACTTTAATCCTAACAGAGTACAAGATCATCACACATGATGATAATGTGTTAAGAAGATTTCCCTCATCATGCACCTCTGAGAACATATTTACCAAAGATCAGTCACCTCTTCATGTGTTCTTTCAGCTGCATGTTTCACTCTGATGAACATGTAAAGCCCAAAGAGATTATGAAAGTCATTCTACGATGACGCATTATGTATCTGGGGGCTTTTGTGACATGAATAAGGGATGTAGAGTGAGAAATCACAATTTTGCAGCATTAAAACATAGATTCGCTGCACCTTTACAAAGATCTGTGATGGACTAGTCAGTGTGTAGCTTCCCCTGTCTCTCAACAACAACAGCCACCAAAGAAAAAAACTCAAGACAAATGCACTGAAAACACACACTGGCAATGCATGACTAAAATACTGTATTACTGAGCAGGTGTAGGTTTATATAACTCTAATACACCATGAAACTTTGCACTCATGTTACTGTTGCACATGCTTCACAACCCGCCTTCATAAGACTAAACTGGTGAAAATGACAGGAAGAAAAGGGGCTTTGAAATCACACCTCATTTCGGCAGCCCAACCACAACCATGCTAAACTTTCCACACGTTTGTCACTGGTGATTGTTAATGTGTCTGTGCACACACATTTATAAGGAAGTACAGAGCAGCATATAGATTTATTCATTCTGTTTTTTTTAAACTTGTTTCTTTCCCCGTGTTCAGGCTCCGCATATTTCACTGCACCGTATTTTGCAAATAGAGATTGACACAAAAAAGTACCAATGAACTCCTCTGCAGTTCTTGGTCTTTTGATGAGTTTGTGGTATTGTGGTGCTGGGTTGCGTTAAATTGGGAGGTGTCCCTCATCCCACAAGTGATGGACACCTCACTGCATCATGTCAGTTTTGGTTATTTTAGCTATTGTGAATCAAAAAAATTTAAATTTTTAAAGCTACGGCAACACTAAACCCCTGAGCTTGCCTGAGAAGGACTAAATGCACACACCTGATGTTTTTAAATATCCCATGGAGAGAGACTCTCACTGCAGCCTGTTTTATTTTGTTCAGAAAATGTCAGCGTGCAGCCTCGTTCTGTGGATGATAAATGAGGTGCAGACTGATAAAGGAGGAAATACAGTGAGTGCTGGACGGAGCAGTGAGTGACAACAACCCCGCCCACATGAAAGAGTACTGTTTGTGGTGTAAAAGCTAGGGTCTATATACCATGTCTGAAAGGTTACTTTTGGTACCATACCGAAAGTGTTTGGTGGAAACGGGGCTAGGGTGATTAACATGTTGCTTCACAACAACAAGGTCTAAAGTTATTAATTCATGGAGTTATGACATTCTCCTCCATCCGTAAAGCATTTCTGTCACTTGAATCTGAAACTCTAAATTGCACATAGTGTCAGCATAGTGGACTGTGTAAATATCCTCCCCCACTCTGGCTGCTTCTCGCTTCCTGCTGATGTGTTTCACTGCAGATGACAGACAGAGTGGGCAACGTCGTTACTGATGATATGGAGCATTTTAATTTGTTGTGGGTTATTTCAAATAACTCCTCTGACTTCCTCTTTGATTCAGTGTGACAATCTCTGTTGATTGAGTCTGTTCATACAAATGCATCAGATCAATCACAAATCTCTTGACACAGGACCAAAAATAAAGTTTTAAGACTTCACTATTTTATGTTTATTGATATTTAAGAGACAATGATACGTTCTTTTATGTCTTAGCTCAGTGACAGCCATGGCAGTAAGCATTCTTTTTTCAGGTTGTCCATACATGCATACATCCCGTCTTTGTGAACATGATATCTCAAGAACACCTCAAGGAAATTTCTTCAATTTGGCAGAAATGTCCACTTGGAATCAACAATGAACTGATTAGATTTTGGTGGTCAAGGTCATTGTGACCTTGTCCGTCTCATTTTTGTGAATGTGATATCTCAAGAACACCTTTAGGGAATTTCCTCAAATTTGGCACAAATGTTCATTTGAACTCAACAATTACCTAACTGAATTTCAGTAGTCAAAGGTCAAGGTCAGTGTGATCTTAAATCTGTCTCATTTTTGTGAATGCGATATCTGAAAAACACTTTGAGGGAATTTCTTAAAATTTGAAACAAACGTCCACTTGGACTGAAGAATAAACTGATTAAAATTTGTTAGTCAAAGGTCAAGGTCAGTGTGACCTTACAAAACATAACTTTGGAATTTTTACACCAATGATGACAACACTCCTGTTGACACACAAATGTCAACAGGATAAAGTCAAGTCTTTGATATCCAAAAGGTCGAAGGTCAAATTCGCTGTGACATCATAATGTTCTGCATAAAACACTTTTCTGGACATTATTCCATGGCATATTTTGGAAACAGAAGGGGACATATTTGGTCAGATACTTAATTGGTGACACTCACCTTGAGTGCCTGTGCTGATTGTATAGGTCTTCAGTGTGTGAAGCATCCATGTATTCACAGACATGGATGTAAACTGTAAAGGTAAACTTGACTACCTTGCCGAGGCATAGAGCTGCATGCTGGTGATTCTAGTTGTCAGTGGAGTCTGGTGGCTTTGAGATAATCTTCAGCTCCTCATCAGAAAGGCAAAGGCAAAGCTGTGAAAATATTTTAAACAAAGCATAGTCTTAAACTGATACTGATTTTTTAGGTGGTACATTTTTTAGGTGCTAAAAAGTAACAACTTGAGGCAGCGTTTGCTCAGCGCTGTTTCATTTACAGTAATGTATTGTAAACATACATTGGATTCGGTTAATTACCAGAAACAACAGTTTGGACCCCCATGGACTGCAACCACTTCAGGGAATTAAGTTTATGTTAGAGTGCCGTCCATGTAGCATGATGAAAACAGGTGAAGCTCACATGTCCGATTACAAAAATTACATTTTTGCCTTTTTTTGTGACCACAACATTCCCAAACCTCAACTGAGTGCACCTCACAATGTATACATTTCTGCATAGTATCATTCAGTCTGGAGGTTGTTGGTTTAATTTGGACCAATCTGCAGTTGGTAATCCAAAAATTCTTGAACTACAGATGTGTTGAGCGTGGGAAATGAAAGATTTCACTTCAGTTTTAAATGACATTTGGGCCATGAGGAATTTACCTTTGTTATTGCTGATTTTCTTCACAGTAGAAAGGTTGTAAACATGTGTTGTGTTTACTGTAGACATCCCACTGTAAGTAGCCCACCCTGAGAACCAAACATGAGATGACAAAAGCGTGGTGCTGGTGTTGTTTCAGATGTTATGTTGGAAAGTTTGGGGTGAAAATTTTCCACTGTGGTAGTACAGTAAAGCGCTAACATAGCGAGAGGCCAATCAGATTGCTCTGAAATGTTCCCTCCCACTTGATGACTACATTAAAGCGCATTATCTTCAGATATGATCTAATTTTACTGCAGTCTCTCTGTAGGAAGAACAGAAAATGCTGATCATATTTTATATTCTGCTCTTGCTCAATATTGGACGTAAGTATTAAAGTCACATTTACTCAGGATATATATTTAAAATATATTTTGTGATCTTTATGCTGTAAATGTGTCTCTTGTTTATCATTGCTCTGTTTTTGTTTTATCTTCAGGATGCACAGACGATCACATCTTTGAGACAAAGACTGTTGGTGTTGGACAAAGTGTGACTCTAACATGCCCCCGCAACAGATTAAGTTTATCATCCTTATTTTGGATCAGGCTTGTTTCTGGAACCTTTCCTGAAATTTTAGGAGGAACAATTGCCGTTGATTTTGGAGTTGATGTGGAGACCCGTCGCATTACAGCAAAACAAGGGCCTGGAACTTTTGTTCTGCATATTACTGAAACACAGTTAAGAGATACTGCAGTCTACTACTGTATAAACGTGACACAAAGCAAAATGACATTTTTGAGAGGAACATTTCTGAGAATCAAAGGTAAATACAGCAAAAACTGCAACAGAATCTCCAAATGCCTTCAGAGTTACAGAATTATGCATAAATATTAACAGCTATTTTACTATTTTTCATCCCCAGGTCCAGAACCTGATATCACTGCCGTCACTCAAGATCCATCTGATCCAGTCCGTCCAGGAGACTCAGTGACTCTGCAGTGTTCAGTCCTCTCTGACTCTGAGAAGAAAACATGTTCGGAAGAACACAGAGTTTATTGGTTCAGAGCTGCATCAGATGAATCTCATCCCAGTTTCATTTATGCCCAAGTAAACAGTAGTGATGGATGTGAGAAGAGTCCTGAAGCTCACTCTCTGCAGAAATGTATCTACAGCTTCTCTAAGGACGTCAGCTCCTCTGATGCCGGGACTTATTACTGTGCTGTGGCCACATGTGGAGAGATATTATTTGGAAATGGAACAAAACTGGACGTTGAAGGTAACTGCACCCTGTTTCTATCTTATAGTTAGATTATCATTATCTATCAACAAAGTATTTCCTATGATTTCTTAACTTTAATTGTTTCTTTAATGTTTCAGATGTCAGCCGCTGTGATTCACAGAATGACAATACAGTTCTGTTTCTGGTGTGTGCTGCTTTGGCTTTAAGTCTGATTGTTATAGCCGTCCTTGTTCATGCCATCAGGACAAAATTCAGCAATTGTTCCAACAGTGAGAGACATTACTCATACATTCATCTATCAAACCAAAGTTTATATGATTCAATTCACATTTCCGCTGTGTTTAAATCAACCTGCAGTGTCATTCATCTTCAATGAAATCCGAAATCCGTTCTTTTTTTACGATCTCTTATTTATCTTTTTTTTTTAATAATACAGCTGCTGCCACTCTGCAAACAAATGCTGCGACAGCCAGTTGTGATCAGCAAAGTCAGCAGGTGAGGATTTTAAAGATGTAGCCAGAAATGTTGTCAATAATGTTTATTTATTGACATGTATACATATTAAAATCTGCTCTCCTAATTTAATTTTTGCACTTGTTTCCTCAGGGTAATGAGGAGTCTTTGGTTTATTGTACACCAAACTTTACCAGGAGGAAAGCTGGCAGAGGAGGGAGAAGAAATCAAAGACAAGAAGAGACCATCTACACTGATGTCAGGGCTTTTATGATATATGATTAATCTAAACCATGAATTTGCTAAATGAGGCTAATGTAATTTTTTTGCTGGTTTCTGCATTTCATTGAGGACATGATGTATTACATAGTATAATGTAATATATCATGTCTTCAAGTAGTAGTATAGTAGAATATTTTTGATAAACTATGCATCATATTATGCATTCTACATATATTCTGTCCAAATTATTTGCAAATATTTCATATTTTTGCCTTATGATGCAAAAATAATCACCTTTAATAACTAAACTTTTGTTGATAGCCTGTATCACTGTGAATCCCATATCTAATAATTTTGTTCCAGTTTTTATGCAGTTTATCAGTACATTTTTTAAGGAGGTGGGTGATGCATCTACCTAATGTGACTTTTTGAAAGATTCATCTTGAAAGAGTCGAGAGAAGAGTCAACTCTGTCTCTTTTCTCTGTGATACCATATAAGGTGATAAACTTCTTCCCCAGTCCCTCAGCTTTGCATCGCTGCAGTTCAAAACGTGAACATGCCTTGTGTCATTTTTTAATAAATTAACATCCACATCTATAATGAACCCTTTATTTATCTAAAAGTGAGTGTGTGTGTGTGTGTGTGTGTGTGTATGTGTGTGTGGTTCCAAACTCTTCTTCTCTTCTGGGCCACCGTAGAAGCACTTTCTCATGTCTTATTAGCCAACACAACACTGAAAAAGTAATTTAAAACCTCCAGTGCAGAGCAGACTTGTCAGTCCAGAGAGCATAGTTGGCATTAGCATAGCAAAAGTTTTGACAGCAAACATAGTAGAGTGTGCAGTTTTTGGATGTGAACAGGCTCTGGAGCTTCCTCCCACTATCGACAGAAAACCCCGTCGTAGCTTGCCTGGGTCCAAGACCGTGGAATCTTCGCACTCCTCTGAGTTCACTGACTGACTGTTCACTGACTGTTGACTGATTCTGGAAACAGAATATCATGAGTTGCTGAGTACAAGCTAACCAACAACATGAATAAAAGATGCTAACTACACTTAGCATTCTGATATTTGTTAATTTTGGTGCAAAACAGACTCCTCATCTAAGTCTGGGTGTGACTGAGGCTCAGACATGTATGTCTGAATCTCAGTGATGTTTCTTCTAATGCTAACGCTGCCAGCTTACTGCGCACTGCTCTTTCATTGGTCCACCTAACGCTGTCAGCAAGCTGCGTAGGTAGTCGGGGCACAAGACGAGATCCCAAACTTCTCAGTAAGGGAGAAAGAGTAGATCTACTTCTGGCTTCTTTTCAGAGTTTTTTACTGTTATGTGGGAAAACTATGTTAAACAAAATATTAGTATTTGTACTTGAGAATGTGTCTGCAGGGGGCTACATGGTGCAATTTCTAAGCCCAAAGACATTTGAGATCTAAATATTATTTGTAGTCACCGATCAC